CTCTGGAGCCAGGCTGGGAGAGCTGGGAATGCTCCCCTGGAAAAGGGAAAAATCCAGGGAAAGCTCAAAGTCCCTGAAGGGGCTCCAGGAGAGCTGCAGAGGGACTGGGGACAAGGGACAGAGGGACAGGACACAGGGAATGGCTCCCACTGGCAAAGGGGAGATTGGGCTGGGATCTTGGCAAGGAATTCCTGGCTGGGAGGGTGGGCAGGGGCTGGGCTGGAATTCCCAGAGCAGCTGTGGATCCCTGGCAGTGCCCCAGACCAGGCTGGAGTCACCTGGGCTGGTGGCAGGGGGTGTCCCAGGTGTGTCCCAGGTGTCCCAGGGGTTTCCCTGCCTTTCCTCAGCCCCCAGCGGAGCCGGCAGCACTGGACGAGGACGGGTACCTGGACACAGGTAAGGGATGGCGGATAAAGGATCCCCAAATCCCCCTCTGGGACTTTTTTGGGGTCCCTTGGAGGGGACAGCAGTGTTGGGGCAGATGACCCCATCTCTCCATCCATCCATCATCCACCATCCATCCATCCATCCATCCCTGTGGGGTTTTCCAGGCCAGCCCAATGTCCAGAGTGATTTGGGAAGGGGCTGCATCCCGGAGGGCGCCTCCAGGTGAGGGCTGGGCAGGGGACGGGACCCTTTTGGGGCCAGGGGGTCTTTGTGGGGTCACTGTGGGGTTCAGGGGGTCCTTGTGGGATTTTGGGAGTCACTGAGGGGGCTCGGGGGTCCCTGTTGTGGTTTGGAGGTCCCTGTGGGGTCTGGGTGTCCCCTGTGGGGTCTGGGTGTCCCTTGTGGGGTTTGGGTGTCACTGTGAGGGTTTGGGGGTCACTGTGAGGGCTTGGGGGGGTCACTGTGGGGTTGGAGGTGATCCTTTGGTGGTTTGGGGTCACTGCGGTGATTTGGGCATCATTGAGGGGGGTCAGTGGATCTTTGTGGGCTTTGGGGTGTCCCCATGGAGGTCTGGGGGTCCCTGTTGTGGTTTGGGGTCACTGTGGTGGTTGGGGTGTCCCCATAGGGTTAGGGGTCACTGTGGCGTTTGGGGTCACTGTTGTGGTTTGGGGTCACCGTGGGATTTGCAGTCACCGTGGGGTTTGGGGGGTTCCTGTATTGGTTTGGGGTCACTGCGGTGGTTTGGGGTCACTGTGAGGGTTTGCGGGGTCACTGTGCGGTTTGGGGTCACTGTGGAGTTTGGGGTGTCCCCATGGGGGTTTGGGGTGTCCCCATGGGGGTCAGGGTGTCCCCATATGGCTCTTGGGTTATTTTGTGGGTCAGGGGTTCACCGTGGGGTTTGGGGGTCACTGCGGTGGCTCTGGCTGTCCCCGAGTGTCCCCTGCGTGTCCCCGCGGGAGACCAGGACATTCCCGTGGGATCGGGGGACAGGATTTGGGCACCTCCCCTCCGGGGGTCACGGCAGGGCTCAGCGCTGTCCCCACGGCCGTGTCCCCGCGCCAGGGTGGTGACAGTGCCAGCGCAGCCCGGGGCTGGCCCTGGCGACATGCGACAGCAGCTGGCGGAGCGCGAGCAGGCGCTGCAGCTGGCGCGGGACACGATCCAGGTGAGCCCATCCCAAATCCCGGCGGCAGGAACGATCCTGGATGCGCGGGGACATCCCGGGTGACACGCGCGACACTGTCCTGTCCCCGCGCCCTTCTTCCCGGCTTTTCCCTGTCCCCCTTTTTCAGCTTTTCCCTGTCCCTTCTTCCATAAAATTTTCCCTGTTCCCCTCTCTCGTCCATCCTTACGTAAAATTTCTCCTGTCCCTCTTTCCCGGCTTTTTCCCGGGGTTTTCCCGGTTTTCCCGGTTCCTCCTCCCCTAAAATTTTCCGCGTCCCTCCTTCCCGGCTTTTCCCTGTCCTCCTTTTCCGGCTTTTCCCGGTTCCTCCTTCCCTAAAATTTTCCCTGTCCCTCCTTCCCAGCTTTTCCAGGCTTTTCCCGATCCTTCCTTCCCGGCTTTCCCTATCTCTTCTTTCCTAAAATTCTCCCTGGCCCCATTTCCCGGTTTTTCCCTCTTCCCCCTTTCCCAGATTTTCCCGGTTCCTTCTCTAAAATTTTCCCTGTCCTTCCTTCCCGGCTTTTCCCGGTTTTTCCCGGTTTCTCCATGTTTGGTTTGGGGTCACTGCGGTGGTTTGGGGTCACTGTGAGGGTTTGCGGGGTCACTGTGCGGTTTGGGGTCACTGTGGAGTTTGGGGTGTCCCCATGGGGGTTTGGGGTGTCCCCATGGGGGTCAGGGTGTCCCCATGGGGGTTTGGGGTGTCCCCATGGGGGTCAGGGTGTCCACTGTGGAGTTTGGGGTGTCCCCATGGGGGTCAGGGTGTCCCCATGGGGGTTTGGGGTGTCCCCATGGGGGTCAGGGTGTCCCCATATGGCTCTTGGGTTATTTTGTGGGTCAGGGGTTCACCGTGGGGTTTGGGGGTCACTGCGGTGGCTCTGGCTGTCCCCGAGTGTCCCCTGCGTGTCCCCGCGGGAGACCAGGACATTCCCGTGGGATCGGGGGACAGGATTTGGGCACCTCCCCTCCGGGGGTCACGGCAGGGCTCAGTGCTGTCCCCACGGCCGTGTCCCCGCGCCAGGGTGGTGACAGTGCCAGCGCAGCCCGGGGCTGGCCCTGGCGACATGCGACAGCAGCTGGCGGAGCGCGAGCAGGCGCTGCAGCTGGCGCGGGACACGATCCAGGTGAGCCCATCCCAAATCCCGGCGGCAGGAACGATCCTGGATGCGCGGGGACATCCCGGGTGACACGCGCGACACTGTCCTGTCCCCGCGCCCTTCTTCCCGGCTTTTCCCTGTCCCCCTTTTTCAGCTTTTCCCTGTCCCTTCTTCCATAAAATTTTCCCTGTTCCCCTCTCTCGTCCATCCTTACGTAAAATTTCTCCTGTCCCTCTTTCCCGGCTTTTTCCCGGGGTTTTCCCGGTTTTCCCGGTTCCTCCTTCCCTAAAATTTTCCGTGTCCCTCCTTCCCGGCTTTTCCCTGTCCTCCTTTTCCGGCTTTTCCCGGTTCCTCCTTCCCTAAAATTTTCCCTGTCCCTCCTTCCCAGCTTTTCCAGGCTTTTCCCGATCCTTCCTTCCCGGCTTTCCCTATCTCTTCTTTCCTAAAATTCTCCCTGGCCCCATTTCCCGGTTTTTCCCTCTTCCCCCTTTCCCAGATTTTCCCGGTTCCTTCTCTAAAATTTTCCCTGTCCTTCCTTCCCGGCTTTTCCCGGTTTTTCCCGGTTTCTCCATGTTGTTCCCTGTCCCTTCTTCCCTAAAATTTTCCCTGTCCCACCTTCCCGGCTTTTCCGTGTCCCCCTTTCCCGGTTTTTCCGTGTTCCCTATTCCCGTCTTTTCCCTGTCCCCCTATCCTGGCTTTTCCCAGGACATCGGGGGGGACAGCAGAGTGGGGACACCGTGGGGACATCATGGGGACACCGTGGGGACACTGTGGGGATGCCGTGGGGACACCCTGGGGACTCGGTGGCCGCTCCTCCCGCCCGGTGGCCGCCGGGATTTAATCCCTTCCCAAATCCCGTTGTTTTTGTAATCCCGGAGCAAATCCGCGCCCGGCGCTGGGAGGTGACAGCGACATCCCCCGTGTCCCCCCCCAGGTGACATCCCCAGCCACGGGGACACGCCCAGGGGTGGCTCTGGGGACCGTCCCTGTGCCAGAGTGGCTTTTTGGGGAAAACCTGGAATTTCCGGCCGATGTGGGAATGGGGGGACAATCCGGGCCCTGGTGTCCCCTCCCTTGGGGACAAACCGGGTGTGATGTCACCGTGCCGGTGACAAGGACACAGCCGGGGCTCCGGGGACCGCTGGGAATGTGGACCCCAGGTTTCTGGGAATGTGGACCCCAGGTTTCTGGGAATGTGGATCCCGGGTTTTTAAGCGTTCCAGCAGCTGGAGCAGCCCCCGGGGTGACATTGTCCCCTCTGTCCCTCACGTGTCCCCTGACCCCGCTGTCCCCCCGGCATTCCCGGGGGACAATCCCGGCACGCTCTGGATGGGAACTGGCGCCATTCCCTGTTCCCTGTCCCCGTGGGAAGGGACACGGAGCTCGGGATGGGGACAGGAGGGACAGGGCTGGATGTTCCCAGGATGGGCGGGAGCAGGGAACGGGGTGGGAGTGGGATTGGATTGGGATTGGGATGGGATCGGAATGGGATTGGGATTGGGATGGGATTGGGATTGGGATTGGGATTGGGATGGGATTGGGGTTGGGATGGGATCGGGATTGGGATTGGAATTGGGATTGGCGTTGGGATGGGATTGGAATGGGATTGGGATTGGGATGGGGATGGGATTGGGATTGGGATGGGATGGGATTGGGATGGGACTGGGATTGGGATGGGACTGGGATTGGGATTGGGATGGGATTGGATTGGGGTTGGGATTGGGGTTGGGATGATTTGGGACAGGATGGGATGGGATGAGATGGGATGGGAAGGAATTGGGATTGTTTGGAATGAGATGGATGGGATGGAGCTGAGATGGGATCAGATTGGGATAAAATAGGATGAGAGAGATGGATGGAATAGGATTGGAAGGAATTGGGATTGTTTGGGATGAGATGGATGGTTGGAATTGGGATGGGATGGAGCTGAGATGAGACGGGATCAGATGGGATGGGAGGATCTGGGATCAGATGGGATGAGAAGAAATTAAATAGGGAGGAAATTGACTGTGATAGGAGAGAACTGAAATGGGATAGGAAGGAATTGGGGTGCAGTGGGATGGGACGGGAAGGAACTGGGATAATTTGGGATTGGATGGATCTGATGGGATTGGGATGAGATGGGATGAGATGAAATCAAATGGGAGGGGAAGGGAAGGGAAGGGAAGGGAAGGGAAGGGAAGGGAAGGGAAGGGAAGGGAAGGGAAGGGAAGGGAAGGGAAGGGAAGGGAAGGGAAGGGAAGGGAAGGGAAGGGAAGGGAAGGGAAGGGAAGGGAAGGGAAGGGAAGGGAAGGGAAGGGAAGGGAAGGGAAGGGAAGGGAAGGGAAGGGAAGGGAAGGGAAGGGAAGGGATGTCACCAATGGGAGAGCGAGGTGGGGGCGCGCCAGCCAATGGGAGCGAGGGGGCGTGTCCCCACAGCGGGAAGCGCGCAGCGGGAGCGGCGGGGTGAGCGGGGCACGGCGACACCGGGGGGACACGGGGGACACGGGGGGACACCGGGGACAACCGGGGGGCGGCAGAGGGGCCGGGGCAGCCCCGCGGAGCGGCTGGCGGGCCGCGGGTGATGGCGGAGGTGAAGCGGGCTCGGGAAAGGGGGGTGGGGACAATCGCGGCCGCGCTGTCCCCTCGCGGTGTCACCTGTCACCCCCATCCTCAGCGTGGGGACACCTCTCCGTCGCCCCCCCACCCAGCATGGCTTCAGACCCCCCCAAACCCCTGGATTTTTCCCCCCCGGGAGAGGTTCCCCCCCTTCCATTCCCGCTCGGTTTTCTTTTATCCCGGCTTTTTTTTTTTTTTTTTTTTTTTTTTTTTTTTTTTTTCCCAACTTTTGGGGTTTTTCCTGCGGTTTTTGGG